GCAATCAAGGAAAAAAATCTGGCTCTTTCATTTGTTTTCACTTTTTTGACAGGCAAAAGGCAAAAGAAGGGTGCTCACACTTCAGGCGTCGCGCCCTTTTGGAGTTGAAAAAGTCTAGGGTTTGCGTGGGGCTGCCGAGAGGCGATGCAGGGCAGGGGTTTCGGATTCGTCATGGCTGGCGGTGCCGCTTGCGCCGCCGGCCTCCATGCCATCGACGATGTGCTGCTGCCGTTTGAAGGCGCCATCCGCAGCTCGGCGCACCAGCTTTACACGCTGAATGAGGTGAGTGCTTCATCCACCCTGGGCAGGGAAGGGAGATACAGCGGCCATTTCACATCTTGTGTGGCTTGGCTCAGAGCTTGCAAGGCTTAGACTCGAAGCACAGCGACGGTATGACCAAGACGCTGTCGGAAGATGTGAGGCGCAAGTGCGGCAACCTTAGCTGGGCCGACCTCGCAACCAAGCTGTCCCTGCTCATGTGGGAGCAAGCTGGGGTTGCCGACGATGGCTACAACAAGCCGCAGTGGGATGAGATACGGAACAGGGCAAATTACGTGACGGGAAGGCTGAGGGAGATGCAGGACAACTTCCCGGGCGACCACAAGGTGTTTAGGAGCACCTTTTGTGCCCTCTTGAACGCCTACGCCATCATGCATAGCATGCTCTGGAACCCGGCTTGCTCACGGTACGTGTACCCTCCCTATCCTCCCGACCTTCCTCTCACCCATCTTTGCTCGGTTTTCAATCCAAGCAGGTGTTGCGTAGCTGCAGAATGGTGGATCTGGGGAATGGTGTATTCACAGTCAAACAGGCACAACCTGGACAGAGTCCTCGCCCGCCTTCAGCTCCATGCGCTCTACCTCAGCTCCGACATTCTGCCAGACGCAGCCAAGCTCTTTGCTGCAACCAAAATCGTGCAGCCGGATCTGCTCGACGCACAAAACTGCCTCATATCTAGCGTCCCGACGGCGTTGGACACTGTTGTGGGGGACAAGAGGCTCTTTCTGTCCATTTCCCCTGCTCCTGTCTCAGCCTCAGAAAGCCTACTTGCAGCTACACCAACTAGTCCCTCGTCCATGAGAGAGACTTTGATGCCCGAAGGAGCACCGCCATTGCAACCGTTCCTGCCATCCGCCAGCATTCCTTCGGCTGTCTCCTCGCTGCCATCCACTATCGCCGCTGTTCCCTCCTCCATCGTATCCAAGGCAGTGGAAGCAGCCTCAGCTGTAGCATCTGCAGCATCGTCGGTTTTGGCGTCGGAAGTAGCACGCAGTGTTGAGGAAACCGAGCCAGAGGTGCCACAACAGGTTCAAGAAAAAGTAGAAGCTTTGAAGGTTAAGTCGTCTCCAGTTCAGTCATCCGAGCCACAGGTTGGCATGGATAACTTGGCGGGAAGGGTCTCCTTGGGTTTTCAGAAGAAGGTGGCCGATTTGCAAAACAAGGCCGCTTCTCTGCTGCAAATCAAGGCATCGGAACTGCAAAACAAGGTACTCATTATGGGAATTGGAGTGAGACTGAATACACTTGACAGGTGCCAGCGAGGTTACTAGAATTGCAAGGGAAGGCTGGTCAGGTAGGAGCCGTGGCCTCGGACCTCCAATCCCGCGTCACCGCAATTCCGTCGGTGTTGGATGCGAAAACAAGCGAGATGCAGGCCCGTGTCGGGTCGGCTCTGTCCTCCCTTCCCTCGCAAGTCCGGGAAAGTATTTCAGACGCACAGGCAAAATCCTCTGCAGAAATGGAGGCGACTGCTTCGTCAGTACAGTCTGGGCTGCGAAATAAAGTTGCTACTCTCTCATCGGCGATACAGGCGAAGGTTGCAGCAGAAGACGTTCAAGCTAAGGTGGCATCGGGGTTCAGGTCATCTGACCTGGTTTCAGACTTACGTGAGCCTTCGACAGAAGTAAAGTCAAGTGTACAATCAAGAATTCAGGCTCTCGAGTCAAGAGCCTCTGCTTCTGCTCCAAAGCACCACCTTCCTCCAAAACCTCCATCCGTTGCAGTGGATGTTCCACCGGCCGTGGCAACCGTGGCATCTGCTGTTGCGTCGGCGGTATCCGCAGCGATGGCGGCAGCTAGCTCCGCAATTCAGGCACAGGAAGCAGCACCAGCTCCGCAAGTAGTTCCTGTAGCCGTTGTCAGTGCACCGGGAAAGATGGCCAAGCCTTCAATACGCATGCCGTCTCCTTCGGGGCCCATAACTACAGAGACGACAATGGGAGGCCAGAAGGTGTTTGTGACACTCCCTGAGACTCCCAAGTTGCTGCCAGCTCCGGTGGAACAGCAAGCAGCAAGGGGCGGTAGTATGGTGAGCTTGGCCGCGGCGTCCACGTTAGCAGCGCTCCCGCCCTTGGAGCAAGGGATATTTGATCTTCCGGCGGTGCCACTGGCAGTGTTCCCTACGGCTGAGAAGAGCCACTGCCTAGCCATAGTTCCGTTTCAAGAGCAGAAGCACTGCGTGGCCTTGATACCGGCGTTGGGAGCGGCATCTGGCGACAGGCCATTGATTGCAATTGTGCCACACGAAGACATGAAGCACTGCTTGGCGGTGCTGCCAGGCGCCCGTAGTGTTGGTCTTCCCGAGCACAAGAAGCGGTGCCTGGCTATCATTCCGTACCAGGACAAGGACAGCTGCCTGGCGTTGATCCCCACGGCACAGGAGGTGGCCTCGGCTGGTGAGCAACAAGAGAGCTCACTGGCTGTGGTGCCGTTTGAGGACAGGCTCGAGTGCCTGGCGGTGGTCCCGACTGCGCCATCGGAGGCGCTTGCCAGCATGAGCGCGAGCAAGAGCGCGCAGGACCTGGTGCAGTGCTTGGCCATGCTTCCGCCTCAAGAGCACGAGCACGGCGGCGTGGTGCGCAAGTTGGCAGTGGTTCCATTGGACGACAAGATGAACTGTCTGGCACTACTGAGGCCCGACGGCCCTCTGGACCTGCGGCAGCAGTGCATGGCTCTCATTCCCGCCATGCCGGAAGCCATCCACGCGAGGCTAGAGCAGCACAGGCATTCCTGCTTGGCCATATTCCCGGCGTCCACGCCCAGCCAGGCCCTGGGTGGTGGCCAAGGCCAGGCGCTGGCAATCATTCCCGTGGCAGGAGCAGGAGCAGAGGAGGCTCCTTGCCTGGCGATAGAGCCAACCACCCCGGAGGCGGCCATGGCGGACCAAAGGCACTGCATTGCCATCATCCCCACCAACCCGGACGTGTGCATGGCAGACGGTGGCTTCTCGATTGTCCCCACGACACCGAACGCAGCCCTCCGCGACGCCAGCCAGTGCTTCGCTATCATCCCCACCGCTCCCAACCTCGCCTTGTGCCACCAGAAGACCGTGCTCGCCATTGTACCTGCTGCACCGTCCGCCACCCCGGAAGCCGCAGGAGCAGGCCCCAGCACCAGCGCAGGCACCCTCGAGGCTGACAAGGCTCTTGTCACTGTCCTCCCCTCCCCTTCTTCATCGTCCTTCCCGTTCGCGGACAAGCACAAGTTCCTTCTCCCGCCCGATGAGCCTACGACCGCCCAACTTTACGAGGAGCTCCAGCCGGTTGCGCACCTTATCAAAGTGGGGCTGAGGGAGCGAGCGCGAGCTCTTGTGGATGAGCTTGAAAAGCATGATAAGCAGCGGCAGGTGGCGGGAGTGGCTATCCTAGGCGAGGGCGGGCTTGGAAAGAGTGCAATACTGAGAGAAGTCCTTACGGAACTCCGGAGGAAAGGCGAACACGTAGTGGCGTATGGAGAGACGAGCGTGGCATCTTCACCGGAGGCCCTCACGGACACCATCTCTAGCCTTGTCCACCAGCTTGGAGGGGATTCGAGGGAAGTATATTGCAGCACGCTGGAAGCCAGGCAAGCTCTCGGCAAGCAGCTGGCGCAGCTTGGGGCCAAGCACAAGGCGGTGTGCGTGGCGGTGGACAATGTTTGGTCTGGTGCAGCTCTGAGGGAAATGCTGCCCAGGAACCTGAGCCAGTTGCTATCTCCGGCAAGTTGTGTTATGGTTACTTGTCCCTCCGAGTCCGTGGCACGGGCGCTGGACGAGCTGTGCAAACCAGCACATCCGAGTGCTACCATCAACTACTGTTTTTGGTGCTATCAACCCAGCCCTCTGTCACCTCCAGAGGCCAAAGAAATGTTTATGCTGCACGCGTCCAAGCGCGGGGTGCATCTCTTACCGGAGCATGAAGAGCTGGTTGACGATCTTGTCCCGCTCTGTGGCGGCCTTCCGCTCGTGCTGCAGGTTGTGGGCTCACACTTTGCAAGGTTTGCCCGACGGAAGAGAGACGAATGGCTGCACATAGCAAAGAAGCTGAAGCTGGCACAGGAGTTCCAAGTTCGCGACGACGAGATATGCTCCAAGCTCAAGGTGATTTACGACGGTCTCGACCCGTCCTTTCAGGAGGCCTTCCTGGACGTTGCAACGTTCTTCCGCGGCGCCAACTGGAAGATGGTGGAGAGGAGTCTGGGCAAGCACCAGCTCGCAAGCTTGGCAGATCAAGCTTTCGTGTTTGCCAAGCAAAAAGAGCCGGATGCACAATGGTGCTCGCAGGATCTACTAGATTCGGTGCCTGTGTGCAGGCAATCCATGAGGTTGAATACAGAAGTCGTGGAGATGCATGATTTGGTTTACTCTCTCGGCCACCAGCTTGCCAAGGGAAGCTACGTGACTTCCAGCGACTCACAGAGGTTGCCGGATGTCCTGCACAATAAAGGGGTAAGTGATCTCCCTCCCTCTCCTTTGCTTTGCTGATCATTCTTGTTTGCAGGAGCTAAGCATGATCAAGGGGCTTACATTGAAGAGGTGTCAAGAGCCTTTCCCTGTGGGACTCATCGACAAGATGAGGAAGCTTCATGTACTCGTCTTCGAAGGCACGAGTATGATCGGTCACTGCCACCGGCCCCCGCACCAGCTGCGCTACTTGGTTTGGCATCCCCTGGACCAAGGGAAGGAGAGAGCATCCATGCCGTTCAAGCTCAAGAGACTCAGCAAGCTTGCCGTGGCACATTTGCACAACATACGGTCTGATTTCACCGACATTGACGTAAGCTGAGGCAACAAGGCTAGCCAGCTCTCTAAAAACTGCTTGTTTGGCTTGTCCCTTGTGCAGTTCCCTCCGAAACTGGTGGAGTTGGAGCTAGACAACTGCGTGAAGCTTGTTGAACTCCCCCGCTCAATCGGGAGCTTGAAATGGCTGCACAGCCTGCACATGCACAACTGCCACAGCCTGAGAGCACTTCCGGACTCGATTGGGGGCCTGGTCATGCTGCAGGAGCTTGTGCTTAGCGTGTGTACCAGCATCACGGAGCTGCCGCAGTCCTTGGGGAACCTCCACGACCTCGAGTACGTGGACCTTGCGGCTTGTTTCAAGCTCATGGCCCTGCCCAGAAGCATTGGAAGGTTGATGGCGCTCAAGGTGATGGACTTGACAGGATGCGAGAGCCTGACGAGCTTGCCGCCGGAGATCGGTGAGCTGCGGAACCTGAGAGAGCTGGTCCTGGCGGGGTGTGGGTCGCTCAAGGAGCTCCCCCCCGAGATTGGGTCGCTCACACACTTGACCAACCTGGACGTGTCCCATTGTGAGCAGCTGATGCTTTTACCGCAGCAGATTGGAAACCTGACTGGCTTGAGAGAGCTCAACATGATGTGGTGCGAGAAGCTGGCGGCCCTTCCCCCTCAGGTTGGCTTCCTCCACGAGCTGACGGACCTGGAGCTGTCCGACTGCAAGAACCTGCCAGAGCTTCCCGTGACCATTGGGAAGCTGAGCTGTTTGAAACGGCTGCACCTGCGCGGATGTGCTCACCTCAAAGTGCTGCCACCCGAGATAGGTGGCCTCAAAAGCGTGAGCTCGATTGACTTTCGGGGGTGCGTGAGCCTGGCATCACTTCCGTCTGCGGAGATTGCAAAGATGAAACCGCTCACGTTCCTGGGTGCCGAGTGTGGGCCTGCCACCGAGCTGTGGCCAAACGTCCACCACCTCAGTGCGCTCAAGCGGCTTGACATTGACGACAAGTCTGGCTGCTGCGTCCTTGTTCCAGCGGAGATTTGGTCGCTTAGCACGTTGGAGAGGCTTGCGCTGCGGGGTTTCCGGGGAGTAGGCGGTTTTGCCCACGCAAAGTGGAACCTGCCCCTGCTCACGTCCCTGTGGATGGAAGGCTTCACCAACGTGACCGCTCTGCCATCAGAGCTGGCAAGTCTAACATCATTGACCCTCCTGGTGCTGGCTGAGTTCTCGAGCCTCACCGAGCTGCCGCCGGGCATTGGCCACCTGAGCAAGCTGGAGAGGCTGAGCCTGAGATGTAGAAAGCTCAAGACACTGGCGCCAGACATGTTCAGGGGGCTAACAAAGCTGCGTTGCTTAAGCTTGGCCGAGTGCGTGAGCTTGACGACGCTGGCCGTACCCAGAGGGAGCCTGGCGTCCCTAGAGATTCTCGACTTGGTAGGGTGCAGCAGCCTGACGGAGCTCCCGGCGGGCGTTGCCGGCATGAGCTCGCTGGAGAGGCTCAACTGCAGGGAGTGCACCGCGCTCAAGGCCCTTCCCCCTCAAGTTGGCGAGCTAACAAGGCTGCAGGCACTCTACCTCCAGCAGTGCTCAACGCTCAAGGAGCTTCCGCCACAGATTGGGAAGCTGTCCATGCTGGAGAGGCTCGACTTGAAAAAGTGTGGCGGCCTAACGAGCTTGCCCTCGGAGATTGGCATGCTGTCAAGGCTCAAGTTCTTACATCTCAATGCGTGCACGGGTATCAAGCAACTCCCGGCAGAGGTTGGAGACATGCGGAGCCTGGTGGAGCTGGGGTTGGAAGGATGTACGAGCCTCAAGGGGTTGCCAGCGCAGGTTGGTCAGCTGCGCAGCTTGGAAAACCTTGGTCTCGACGGCTGTACGGGCTTAGCATCGCTGCCAGCGGATGTGGGGAATCTGGAATCCCTCAAGCGTTTGTCACTGGCCAAGTGTGCGGCCCTCGAGGGGCTTCCGCGGGAGGTGGGCAGGCTGCCAAAGCTCAAGCTTTTGCGGCTGGACGGGTGCACCAGCATGAGTGAAGTGCCTGCGGAGCTTGGACACGTGCAGACGCTCGTCAACTTGGGCTTGGAGGGGTGCACCTCGCTGAGCTCCATACCGCCGGGGATTTTCAGGCTGCCAAATCTGGAGCTCTTGGACCTGAGGAGGTGCACACTGCTGGCTCAAGACGTGGGCTCCTCGTCGGACATGCACAAGTATGGCTGCACCCTGGTGACCAACGACTTGGACTGGGAAGGGTTTGAGGAGGTTTGGCTTTACTACTGAGTGGGGGCGGCGGATTTTGTTGAGCGAGCGAGCGCAGAGCTTTGATTCGATTCCCTTTGGCAATGGCAGAGGGTGTGGATGGATAATAATACAAGTGAGGCGAGGCAGTCAGATTTGTTCACATGGACATCACATGACCGATGATATAACAAAACATATATATCCTATATAACACACAGGAAAAAGTAAAGAAGAAAAGGTAAAGTAGATAAGTAGCCACTGAGGAGGAGCAAGGGTTGTTCTTCTCTCAACTGGCAAGAATGGACAAATCCTCGTGCCTCCCGGAGCGGGCAGCCCAGCTAGGTAGATAGGGTTTGGGTGTCGCAGGGTCTCACGCGCCTCAAAACGGGGTTAGATGTTGTAGGCAAGAGGGGCGAGCAAGGGGAAGATCTAGAGAGGCGAGCATGTCGACCACCAAGCTGACTTACTCTTCGGGCAGCTCCGCCAAGTCCAAGCACAGCGTCCGTGTGGCACAGACGACCGCGGATGCCAAGCTCCATGCCGTGTACGAGGAGTCTGGTGAGTCCGGGGACTCGTTCGACTACACCAAGTCGGTGAATGCAACCAAGTCCACGGGCGAGAGCATCCCGGCGCAGGCCGTCACGGCCTACTTGCAGCGGATGCAGCGCGGTGGCCTGGTGCAGCCCTTCGGCTGTATGCTGGCGGTGGAGGAGGGCAGCTTCCGCGTGATTGCTTTCAGCGACAATGCAGGGGAGATGCTGGACCTCATGCCCCAGTCGGTCCCCAGCCTCGGCGCCGGGCAGCAGGATCTGCTGGGGATCGGCAGCGACGCGCGCAGCCTCTTCACGCCGGCCAGCGCCAGCGCCCTGGAGAAGGCGGCGGGCGCCATCGACGTGAGCATGCTCAACCCCATCTCCGTCCACTGCAAGACGTCGGCCAAGCCCTTCTACGCCATCGTCCATCGCATCGACGTGGGCCTGGTGCTGGACCTGGAGCCCGTCAAGGCCAGCGACACGAGCGTGGGATCCGCTGCCGGTGCGCTCCAGTCCCACAAGCTGGCGGCCAAGGCCATATCGCGCCTCCAGTCGCTGCCCGGCGGCGACATCGGGCTGCTGTGCGACACGGTGGTGGAGGAGGTGCGCGAGCTGACGGGCTACGACCGCGTCATGGCCTACAAGTTCCACGACGACGAGCACGGCGAGGTGGTGGCGGAGATCCGGCGCTCCGACCTGGAGCCTTACCTGGGCCTGCACTACCCGGCAACCGACATTCCCCAGGCCTCCCGCTTCCTCTTCATGAAGAACCGGGTACGCATGATCTGCGACTGCTCCGCGGCGCCCGTCAAGATCAGCCAGGACAAGGATCTGCGGCAGCCCATCAGCTTGGCCGGCTCCACGCTGCGGGCACCCCACGGTTGCCACGCGCAGTACATGGGCAACATGGGCTCCGTCGCCTCGCTGGTGATGGCGGTGATCATCAACGACAACGACGACGAGTACCGCTCGTCGTCGGGCGGGGGTGGCGGCGGCGGCGGCGCGTACCAGCAGAAGGGCAGGAAGCTGTGGGGGATGGTGGTGTGCCACCACACGTCGCCTCGCTCGGTGCCTTTCCCACTGCGCTCCGCCTGCGAGTTCCTCATGCAAGTGTTTGGGCTCCAGCTCAATATGGAGGTGGAGCTGGCAGCGCAGCTGCGGGAGAAGCACATCCTGCGCACCCAGACACTCCTGTGTGACATGCTGCTCCGCGACGCCCCCATCGGCATTGTGTCGCAGTCACCAAACATCATGGACCTGGTCAAGTGCGATGGTGCTGCCCTCTACTACGGCAAGCGCTTCTGGCTCTTGGGCGTCACGCCCAGCGAGGCGCAAATCAAGGACATTGCCGACTGGCTGCTGGAGCACCACAAGGACTCCACCGGCCTCAGCACCGACAGCCTGGCCGACGCCGGCTACCCGGGTGCCGCGTCACTGGGCGACGAGGTGTGCGGCATGGCCGCGGCCAAGATCACCGCCAAGGACTTTTTGTTTTGGTTCCGCTCCCACACCGCCAAGGAGATCAAGTGGGGTGGCGCCAAGCACGACCCCGACGACAAGGACGACGGGCGCAAGATGCACCCCCGCTCCTCGTTCAAGGCCTTCCTCGAGGTGGTGAAGCGGAGGAGCCTGCCATGGGAGGACGTGGAGATGGACGCCATACACTCGCTGCAGCTCATCCTCCGCGGCTCCTTCCACGACATTGACGACAGCGACACCAAGACCATGATCCACGCGCGCCTCAACGACCTCAAGCTCCAGGGCATGGACGAGCTGAGCACTGTCGCCAACGAGATGGTACGCCTCATCGAGACCGCCACCGCGCCCATCCTTGCTGTCGACTCGAGCGGCTTTATCAACGGCTGGAACGCAAAGGTGGCGGAGCTCACCGGGCTGCCCGTGACCGAGGCCATGGGGAGGTCCCTCGCCAAGGACCTGGTGCTGCAAGAGTCTGCGGACATGGTGGAGAGGCTGCTCTATCTGGCGCTTCAAGGTACGCCATGACACACTTTCACGTACCTCACGCTAGCTAACCACGTCTCGTGTGGTGTGAAACAACAAACCAGGCGACGAGGAGCAGAACGTGGAGCTCAAGCTCAAGACGTTCGGCGTTCAAAAGGACAAGGAGGCGGTCATTCTGGTCGTCAACGCGTGCGCCAGCAGGGACGTTTCGGACAATGTGGTGGGAGTGTGCTTCGTTGGCCAGGACGTGACGGGGCAGAAGGTGGTAATGGACAAGTTCACGCGCATCCAAGGCGACTACAAGGCCATCGTGCAGAACCCCAACCCGCTGATACCGCCAATCTTTGGCGCTGACGAGTTTGGCTACTGCTCCGAGTGGAATCCTGCCATGGAAAAGCTGTCTGGGTGGAAGCGGGAAGAAGTCCTGGGAAAGATGCTTGTCGGAGAGATATTTGGCATCCAGATGATGTACTGCCGCCTCAAAGGCCAGGACGCCGTCACCAAATTTATGATCGTTCTCAACAGCGCAGCAGATGGCCAGGACACGGAGAAGTTCCCCTTCGCCTTCTTTGATCGACAGGGCAAGTACGTCGAGGCTCTCCTCACGGCCACCAAGCGGGCGGATGCCGAGGGTTCCATCACCGGAGTGTTTTGCTTCCTACATATTGCCAGTGCCGAGTTGCAACAGGCCTTGACAGTCCAAAGAGCCACCGAGAAGGTTGCCTTGTCCAAGCTCAAAGAACTGGCTTACATCCGCCAGGAGATAAAGAATCCGCTCTATGGCATCATGTTCACTCGGACTCTCATGGAAACCACCGACCTGTCCGAGGATCAGAAGCAGTACGTAGAGACTGGTGCTGTGTGCGAGAAGCAAATAAGGAAGATCCTGGACGATATGGACCTGGAAAGCATTGAGGATGGGTACGTAGTTTCTTTTATCTACATTTTGCAGCTAGCACGAGTTTTGTTTTTTTCTTGTCTAATGTCTGGCATTGGCAGCTACCTGGAGCTGGATACGACTGAGTTCATGATGGGGACGGTTATGGACGCTGTCATCAGCCAGGGCATGATCACCTCTAAAGAAAAGAACCTGCAGCTGATTCGGGAGACTCCAAAGGAGATCAAGGCCATGTTTCTGTACGGCGACCAGGTGCGCCTCCAGCAGGTTCTGGCAGATTTCCTGCTCAACGCGATCCGCTTCACTCCGTCATCCGAGAATTGGGTGGGGATAAAGGTGGCCACGTCTAGAAAGCGCTTGGGTGGTGGTGTGCATGTGATGCATCTCGAGTTCAGGTGAGACACGACAAGCTGAAAAATGTTTCTTTCTATCTGATTGATTTTGCGCTCATACTGACACTGGCAATCTGTCCCGGCAGGATAACTCACCCAGGTGTTGGCCTCCCTGAAGAGCTTGTCCAGGAGATGTTTGACAGGGGCCGAGGTATGACACAGGAGGGCCTGGGCCTCAGCATGTGCCGCAAACTCGTCAAACTCATGAACGGGGAAGTGGAGTACCTCAGGGAACCCGGCAAAAACTTCTTCCTGGTCAGCCTGGAGCTCCCCTTGGCACAACGGGATGATGCCGGCAGCGTTAAGTTTCAAGCTTCCAGCTAGCTCTTGTAAATTAGTTTTTGCCCAAATTGTGCTTCAGTACATGTAAACTCCAGCTGTCAGCCTTATGGTTTGTACCACAGGCAGCGTCGCAGTGACGTAGAGATGTGGAACACTTGACGAGGATGCTGGACCACGAGACAGATCCCGGCACAAGCCACAGCAAGTCCCACTGCCACTTTGACAATGGTTCTTCGCTTGTATCTCAGGCTGCTCGAGTGCAACAGGCGTGTGCTACACAGCCTCCCAAGAGTAGCAGCAGCAGGCCCGTCCGCAAACCCCTGATACCAAAGGAAGTTAAAAAAGGGCTATAAACAAAGCACACGTACACGCACCTCGTCAAGGCATGCTTCTCGTTTGCCTTGATAAAGCAGCAGAACTTTGATAATGTCTGCCCTGTTGTGCGCCACTGCTGCTTGGAGAGCCTTTTCAATACCAACTCCATCAGATTGTCCCATTTGTCGAGCGGCTTCTAAGATTCGCTTTGTGGCAGCAGTCCATCCTCTTTCAACAGCAAACACTAAAAGCCGTTGGAGACGGCAAACGTGCATTGGTGTAGCAGAAACCCGTTTGGCCCGAGAGGTGTGACTGATCACCCAACCAAGGTCAACCAGTACCTCATGTGTCTCCAGCCTGCAAGCATCTCGCCCCGAGCAGCAGCCAGAGCTTGAAGCTTTCAAATCCCGCTCCAGCGTCTGCACCTCTTCGCACAGCTGTTTGTCTGCTACAAGAAGCGGGACGGAGTTGCTAATCCCATGATCATAGCCTATCTGCATTAAGTGTGCCAAAATCACCTCAAGTCTGCAGAACGAACTTGACGTACCTCAACGAAGGCAACTCCCGGTCCTTGGGGGACGAGCACATCAATCTGTATGCTGGTGTAGAAGTGGCTGGAAGCGCGTATGCAACAGGGGAGATACTTTCCCCGTGAGGCAACCAGTACTCTGCCATATTATCAGGGCCCAGTTAGTTAGGGGGGAAGTAGATTTCGCCCGCCACACTCACCTCGAGTTGAGCTTCAAGAGGTTGTGCCCCGTGAGGGTCACGGTCGCCTCAGTTCCTGCCTCTACGCAGAGAGGAAACACTGCTTCAATAACTGGATACTTCTTGGTTGCTCTTTCACAAAGTGACGGCGACGAAACTGAACCTGTGCAAGCAAGCAAGCGTGAGAAAGCACGTGAATGAAGCCGAGATTATAATTACTGACTACCATTGTGAATGTATGCAACTTGGTTGCCTAGAAATGCCAAGACAAAGCCTTTGTCCCAAAAGCCAGTCTCAGCACCGGTGGTAAGTTTGGCAAGGTAGTCATTCCAATCTTCCTCCAGCTGTATCCAAAATAAAGAGTCTCGAGAAAGTGTGGCAGCCTCCAACACAGACGAACCTTGGCCCAGAGTGATTGCGGCATGGCGATGAAGAGTGTGAGGATGGTGCACCCGGAGCGGATGTAGCCTTCAAGCTCCACAGGCATATTGGCTAGCCACTCCATAATCTGCGAAGGAGAAAACGCGGATGAGCCAACGGAGTTCAAGGGCATCGAGGGAATACCTGTCCTCGAAGTCTCCGTGGAAAGTCGGCGGGGTTCCAGTCATAAAACTTGAAGGATATCCGCCTTGTTGGACACTGCAGACGAGACGGGCATACACATTTAGCTAAGAGAAGTCATGGTCTGATCTCACCGGTGAGGTGTAGGTGGTACGCTTTGGGAAGCCCGACGTCGTGGACATGGATTGGTTGTTGTGTTGCTCTTGCTGCTCTTCCAGCAGCATTGCAAGCAGTGACTCCTCCCCGCTTGCAACACTGGTGTCAACACCGAATGAATCGTCGTCACCTTCATGGTGGGGTGGCTTGCTCCCTTGTAGCAAGCGCTGGGCATGCGAGCGGAGGCAGTAGAGGTCATTCGCGGAGGGAGCTCCTCCTCCTCCTGCCACGCCCTGCTGGACGTCGCTGACTGCAAGGGAGAAGGCATTAACGGCCGCTCCAACATGAAACGTAAACAGGGGTGCATACCATCTGAGTTGGTGGTGGTGTTGGGAGCAGTGCCATGCTTGTCGCTGACCACGCTAGTGTCGCCAGACTCGGGCAGCTTGCGCCGCCTCCTGTCGTTGTGCCTCTCGAGCTTCCTCCTGCAGCTCCGCTTGCCCTCGTCAAAGTCGCCCAGGGGATGAAACCTGAGGAGAGCAAAAGGTCCTCAGAGGGGGGTGTATACAGCACGTCAACTTACTTGCCACATTGCTGGCAGTATCTCTGGTCTTGGCCGCGCACCCAGACGGACGTAGCATTGGCACAGGTGAGGCACACCCGGTGGCGCTGGTGGTAGCCCTTGAGAGGAGTGAGGTCTGCGTGACAGGCGGGGACCTGGCAGCGAGCACTAGAGAGCTTGGAACGCTTCTTGGACCTCTCCGCTTCCTCCTCGTCCTCCTCATCCGAGCACGCACACGGCACTCGGCCCGCCAGGAAGTTGGGGCAGCTCAGCCGCGGATCTCGCCGCCGCCG